GTACAGCAGTATATATATATCATATTTATAGAACAGATTTGAGGGTTTGGATGCCCAAGAACTGCTAAAGGGGCAAAGGAGGAACAGCAGAGGATCAGGGATATTCTGGAAGAAATCTGGAAATGTAAATATGGGGGTAGATTTTTCATTGTTATCACATGGGTTTATTTCATAATAAAGAAAAACTTTCTCAGGTTCATAATATTTAACCCGAGTTTACCCTGGCCAAGAGCAGGATGAGGCAGAACTGAAGAGGTATTACCTCTGCGTAATAGTTGCCCAGAGGTCAGAGGACACAGCCAAATGCTTCTGCAGGAGGAGCTAAGGCCAGACCACAGTGAGGTTGGAAAGGGGCAGGCAGAGGGGAGAGGGGGTGGGTGGGGCGGTGGCAGCATGGTGGCCGGAAGATGCTGGCCAGTCAAGCAACAGAGATCACCCATCTCATTCCCTGGCAAGAGCATAAAAATTATCCCACCTTTTTCTCATTTTAGCTTTGCATTTTAAGAACTGATTTGCAAGACAAAAATACAAGCAGGTAATTTTATCTTGGAACTATATAGGATAACATATTGCATCAGAGAGGGATAAAACAGTCACACGCACACTTATATATGCCACCAAAATGTTGCATTCAAAAAAAGTATAGCAGCTATCTTTAAAGTAATGACTATTCACTCTAGAAGACGCTAATCGAAAAGCAGGGGTGTCAGCTGCCAATGCTTCTTTTTCTGTCCTGTGCTTTCCTTTGGGGAAGTTAAACTGCATTTGACCAAAATTTCTGTCGGTCTGAAGGATAAGCAAGATTCTTCAGTTATGTATGCTTGATCAAATAAACAAAAACATATCTACTAGTGAATATGATTTTATATCTGGTCAAATGAAATATGCATGTATCTCAAACTTACCTTCAGGTGAAGAGCCTGTCTTTTGGGAAAAGACAGCATTTACTTTACTCTTCTTACTGATATCGCTGTTTACAGACAAGCTGGACTGAATTTTTCTATGCATTTTTTGAGAAACAGGTGCCGAAAGTTTGTGATTGTCTGTAGATACATGCTTGGTCCCATGGTGAATTCCACTGCCGTTGCTCAGACTTGTGTGGCCGTTCTTTATCTTGCTGATTTCCTCCTCAGGTGGCTCCTGCACTGAAGTCTGAAGCTGAGGCAAGCGCTGAGGTTGGGCTAAATTTAAAAAACAGGAAAAGTGTATCCAGTTAAGAAACAAAAATGAGTATTTTAAAATAATGAAAATGCATTCAGGAGCAGAGATTTGGGGTTTTACCCATGATACTAAAACTGAAGAAGCAAAGAAGAAAAAAAATGAAAATACTAACAAACATGGACACAGAGAAAGCATAATTATGAAACGGGAAAATGGAAGCAAGCTCATCAAAAGTGACTTTATACAATGATATAAAAAACAGAGCAGAGAAATACAGTTTGGGGTATTTTCAAAGTTAAGTAACAAATCTGAAAAAGTAATTCAACATTTATTCAGCAAATGTTGATTGTTTTGTATGTCCTGGAACCTCTTTTGAGTACTACAGACACAACAGTATTATCTCAATACCCCTAGTAATGATAAACTACTCAATCATCTTTTGAAATAAATGAAAAGTAACAATGAATTCAGATATCCAAAGCTGGACAATTCAATACAGAGGGCAATAGTTTTTCTTTTTTTAATTCTATTTTGAATCCTGGAGAAGAAAATCTTTTCTACATTCATTCTTTAATTTGATTTTTAAATAAACCATTTATGAAAAGTTAGGAATACAAGAGCACTTTCTTAATGTGATAAAACATGTCTACCAAAATCAGACATCAGCACTTTAGTAGTACTCTCATTTGGGTCAGGACCAAGCAAAGAATGTCCACCTTCAACCCTCTTATGCAACATTAAACTGGAGGTCTTGAGGAAAGCAATAAACAAGAAAAAGAAATACTCTAGGTTTGAATTCTGGAAAGGAAGAAACAAAAGTTTTGAGATGTGCATAGATTTGAATGCTCTGAGATAATCTAAGAGACTAGAAAAACTAAGAAATCAGGAAGATTTATATCAACCATATAAAAATCAACAATGTTCCTATATGCCAACCATAACCAATAAATATACAAGAAAAAATTAACTCTTTGCAATGGCAAAAAACAAGCAAAACAAACCAACCAACCAACCAACAAACAAAAAAAACCCTATAAGCATTTAGGAATTAAATTAAGAAAAAATGGACAGATATTATATGGGGAAAATTACACAACATTACTGAAGGGCATAAAAGAAACCCAAATAAATGGAGAGAAATACGTTAATATGTTCATTCTCCCCAATTTACTTAGTTAAGGTAATTTCCATAACATTCCCAATAAGATTGTTAATGGAACTTCACAAGTTGATCCAAAAATTTATAAGGAAGCGTAATCAAGAGCCATCAAGGAAATTTTAAGAAAGAAAAAGAGGGCTGTGCAACTTGACTTACTAGATATGAAATCATATTATAAAATTATAGTAACTAAAACAGTATGGTGTTGGACCAGGTGTGGACATATAAGCCAATGGAATAGTAGAGTCCCAAATATGTTCAGGTGTGCACATGTATATGCATAAAAATAAATTCCAGATCTATTAAATGCATATGTATGAAAAGCAAAGCTTTTTAAAGTAAAAATATAGGAGACTATTTTAATAGCATGATACTAAGAAAGCACAAACAAATTAGATCATTTAGACAATGAGTCATATAACAAGCAGGGTGAATATTAATCATCTGTGTTGCCCAACATTTCTAAATACACAGAGTTTGGTAAATTCCCCTATTCCATCCCTAGACTCCTTGGCAGCTAGTGAACAGGAAGATGATCTAAGTTCTGCCAAGCAGAAGTAAGGCTTGGATTCAGAAGTGCCCAATACCAGGTGTCAGCCATACCAGGGAGGTGGAACTGCTCAGCATAGATGGCATGAAGGTGTTTGTTGGTCTTGGCAGTGGAGTGCAGCTTCTGGTGTCCACTTCCCGTCAGTACAGCAGTCCAGTGGTGTAACAGTGGAGTTTTTATCAGAGAAGCCCTATTGAATGGATGAACATGTTCCTTGGCTGTGTAGATATGGGAGAGTCTATGTGCAGCTAATAAATTTATTTTCTGTTTAAATCAGCTAAGATGGATTCTGATTTTTATAGCTAGAAGTCCTGATCCCCCAAAAAAGGTATCTGTTTACATTGCTTAAGTAATGAGGCTATTATTAAAAATCAACATTTACCTTGTTTGTGTAGATCTTAAGCAAAGCTATAATTCATACTTTTTTAACAAAAATACCAGAAACATTCATTGTGAATGTTTCTTTTTAACAAAAATACCAGAAACATTCATTATGAAAATTTTACTATTGTATACTTTCCTGGAATTTCAAAATCTAAAACTGTTGTTTTAATCAATCATCTTTTCTGTTTATGATTATGAACAATCATGAAATATAAATTAAATATGACTCTAAACTTAAAAAAAAGTATTGCACGCAAAGCTGTAACAGTTATACGTGGGGTTGATAAATGTCGATAAGGCTCTGATTATCTGTAGTCTGGGGGCTAGCTAAGACTTGTCATATTTTTGACAAAAAAAGACAGTTTGTACCTGAGTAAGTCTTCAACATACCATTGCTTACTTCAGTTCTTGTTCACGTATCTCACGTATCATGAAAAAAAAATCTTAACATATCAAAATATTCTCCTAAATGTACATATTTCAAGAAAAAGGACAGATTCACTTTTTACTTAATAAACATAAGTATGCTTTTATACCAAGTCTATTAACATTAATACCTGATTTATAAAACTGTAACATTTTCTTACAGTTTTTCAGTTATTTGGTGCTAAATAAAAGGCAATAATTGCCTAAAAAGTAAGTATCTGTTTAGCAGATGTATATGCTCTTCTCATAACTAAAATCTACAATCAAAGCATCTGTAAAAAAAGATCTGTTTCTTCTGGGTGTGCAATCATTTGACTTAGAGATTAATTTACTGCTCCTGCAACTTCTTGTATCAACTAGACTGACATTCTAATGACTGCTATTGAACATAAAGCTAGTTATGCATATGTATTTAAAAGGACGCCAAAGAAGACAGTTAAACTTAATTTGGGGTTCTTTTCAGAGCACTTTCCAGTAATCTCACCAAATAAATGGAATATTTTGGGCCATTTTTACTCTGAAAAGAATAATTCAAGTAAGCTAAGAGCTTGGCGAAGTCAAAATGTCATTGACCACTGCTGGGGAGACTCCTTATCAATCAAAAATGTCCTGTCGTATTCCATAATCCAAGATTAATTTAGAATTAGTATGTAATAGATAAACAGTCTCAATAAATAAAAATACAGGTGGGTAAAAGACAACTGTGTACTGCCACCAAATTTTTAAATTGATAGATTTGACCTTTTTCTACTATCAGAAATGACTATCTGCAAATTACTGGGTATGGCTGGAGTGATATTCTAACATATCCTTAATGATTTATCTACATTCATTCTTCAAAATGATATCTATTTCTATTGGCAGATAAATGATAGTACATCATTTTTGTTTCCCTCTCACGTAATTATTTTTACTTTAGTTTTTATTATGGTCAGGTAACCAAGTATTATCTCTTCACTCCAGTTTTTTAACATTAAAACAATTTCTTATTTGAATGATTTTGCCAGATACGTGCAGTAAGTCAAATCAAAACTGGATAAACCCTAGATATATTAGTTATCAAAACAGACATTAAATTTAACTTTGTTGAGAATTTTTTATGGATATGGCTTAAATCTTATGGTAAAATTACAATGAAAACCAAGTAGGAGACATAATTTTATTTTCCAATAAGGAACAAAAATGCCTGACCGATTAAACCACGACTACTTGGCTTTAAACAGATTCTTTTGCTTATTGTGTAAAAGTTGTCTATGGCTTTAAAAAAAAAAAAAAAAAGGGCACGCTAATATGGGAATGACACAATGCTTCTTAAAACACAAGTGATGCCTAGGGACCCTCACTTTCCCTTTAATGATCCACTGCTCTCATTCAGCTGTCTTTCTTTTTTCAAATCTTTACATATGTGACAGCTCTCAAAAGTAGACCATAGACCATCTGGCATTTTCAGAGGTGTAACTTGTGCAAATTCAGCTCTATTGGGAGCACACTGCTATCTTCTGCCTGCGTTATAAAGGGACAATAGAATGTAGAACTTATGAGTTGTTTTGAATTATTCATTTTTTGCCTGTATATTCAAGAAATTTTACAAACTCTGCATTTTGTACTACATAATCACATGCGTTAAAGGTACAAAGAAACTTTTTGACACCTCTTTTCTACAGAAAGCTGGCATTTTGTTTGATAGGTGAACATTCAGCATCTGTTAGATCATTCTAAACAGGATGGGTGCTGCTACAAAAGATCCCATTTTAAATTTACTCTATATGAGCAAAAAAATGTATTCTTGATATTCAGTAACAAATGCAATACACATCAAAATTTCAAATACCAGTTATAAGAACATTCAGCATCTCCAAACCTGGATAGCTTTGGTCACCCGCTCACCATATGTGTAAAGATTTTTTTTTTTAATCATTGCTTACACAATGCAGCATGATTGTAATTTTAATATCCATGATGAATAGTTACAAATGTCTTAAGAAATTCTGTGCTTTCTAGGTTCAGATGTTTTCAATCAGGAAGGAAACCAATAGAATAAGGTCTAGTGATTTTCAATAAGAATAATAAATATAGGAGTAAATGAGTCAATAGCATGAACTTCTTTTGATAACTTTAAAAAAAAAGGGTGATATTGCTGCTGGTAATAACTACACTTGAAACTGCAGCTGCTGGAACAGTAATCTACAGAAACATTTTGTTATAGCATATAATCTATTATGTGCAAATCATCTTCAGTCACTGGTATCTTTACACAAGTCAGTTTTAATAAAATTACAAAAGAATTCTCATGCCACATAGTTTAAATGGTTGTTGTACACATAAAAAAATCAGATTAAATGCTTAGGATTTAAAATTGCCAGTAACAAAATGATCAATAGAGAATATGGAAGGGGAAAAAGTGACTTGGTGTAAATCTAAATTACTTTTCCCAGGGATAGTTACAAAGCTTCTACTGGTGTCCAGTATTATGCTACTCCATGGTCACTACGGGACATACA